AACCATGAACACCCCTACTCCTGACTATCATCATTCCTAATCTTATCCATCCTAGTGTGCCTGCATATCTATCTCAACATCCTCATTTCCGCCACTTTCATCTTCTGGATATGTGAGTTCTTAACAGGCCAACATTCAGCCCCATACATCATGGCCGGTCTAACCACCGCTTTATAGAACTTACCTTTGAGTATCAGTGACACTCTTTTATCACATAGGACTCCAGATGCTAACCTCCACTTCATCCATCCTACCCCAATACGGTGTGTGGCATCCTCGTTGATCTCCCCTCCCCCCTGGATAACCGACCCAAGGTACTTGAGCTGCATCTACTTGGGATGACCTATGATTCAAGCCTCACATCCGCGTCCACTTCCCCCGGCTCAGCGCTTAACTTACAATCCAGGTATTCCGTCTTCGTCCTGCTCAACTTGAAACCCTTAGACTCAAGAGCCTGTCTCCAAACCTCCAGCCTCTCGTTAACACCGGCTCGCGACTAATCAATCAGAACTATATCATCGGCGAATAGCATTCACCATGGCACCTCCTTTTGAATATGGTGTGTTAACGCGTCCATCACCAGGGCGAACGAGAACGGACCGAGCGCAGAACCTTGGTGTAACCCCATTACAACCGGAAAATGATCAAAGTCGCCTCCTACCGTCCTAACCCGAGTCTTTGCCCTATCATACATGTCCTTAATTGCCATAATGTAAGGAACCGACACACCTTTTGCCTCCAAGTATCTCCACAGAGCTTCTCTAGGAACCTTGTCATATGCTTTCTCTAGGTCAATAAACACCATGTGTAGATCCTTCTTCCTCTCTCTGTACAGTTCCACCAACCTCCTAACAAGGTGTATAGCTTCTGTAGTAGAACGACCCGGCATGAACCCGAACTGGTTATCGGATACAGACACTGTCATCCTCACCCTCGCTTCAACCACCCTTTCCCACACTTTCATGGTATGACTCAGTAACTTGATACTCCTATAATTGTTACAACTCTGGATATCACCTTTGTTCTTATACAATGGAACTACCGTACTCCACCTCCACTCATCCGGCGTCCTCTTCGCCTTAAAAACATTAAACAACCTAGTCAACCACTCCAAACCTGCTCTCCTCTCACACTTCCAAAATTTCACCGGAATCTCGTCTGGCCCGGTCGCTCTACCCCTACTCATCTTACGATAGCTCCCACAACCTCCTCAACCTTGATACGCCTTCAGTACCAAAAGTCCCGGTGACTCTCGGAATGCTCCAATTCGCCTAGCACAATATCTCGATTCCCTTCTTCATTCAGAAGTTTATGAAAGTAAGTCTGCCATCTCCTCTTAATCTGGGCATCTTCCGTCAATACTCTACCATCTTCGTCCTTGGTGTATCTCACTTGGTCCACATCTCGAGCTTTCCTCTCTCTCAACTTGGCCAGCCGGAATAACTTCTTCTCCCCGCCTTTTTCCCCCAGTTCCTCGTACATACGACCATACGCCGCAGTCTTAGCCTCCGTGGCCACCAGCTTAGCTTCCTTCCTAGCTAGCTTATACCTCTCCATGCACGCTTGCCTCTCCTCCGCGCCTATGCTCCCCAATAACTTCAGGTACGCCGTCTTCTTCGCTTCCACTTTACCTTGTACCACTTCATTCCACCAAAACATAGTGTATCAATCACGGAAGGTCCAAAAAGTCAATTTCGATAGCTACTTTGGCTTTCCTACCTCCCCAACTGTCCCTTCACGCCAAAAGAAAATTGGTGTTGAAGGAACTATTTTGCTGGTAAAATAGATCTCCTTCCTTGCTCCCCTGCCTCCAAATGCGGGCAAAAGATATAAAATCACCACCAGTCTGCTTTTGGGTTTTTTTAGTTGGATTTCACATTGATCCTATAAAAGTTACTGGGTTTCAGAAATGTTTTTGTAAGGAAACTAATAAATCCAAATGTATTTGTCAAATATGGCAGCAAAGGAATGGGATGACAGTGACGAGATACAATGTCAGCGGTGAACCCGGTGGATATGGAAAGGCAAAGATGGAAATAAGCAGAGGAACAGGCACACAAGAAGGAAAAGAAACGAGAGTAGATTTAGGGGTTTTGGTGTAGTGAAGGGTATTTTTGGGAGTATAATAAACTGTAAGGGTTAACAAAGTAAAATACTTAATCAAACACAAGGAGCTTTAAAGTTGAAAAGCCATGTTGAAGTGTGCAGCTTATGGCTTTTGATTTGTTTTGGCATAAAAACATCTAGCTTAATAGCACTTTTGGTGTTACCAAACACTAAAATAAGCCAAAAGGTGCTTAAAACCAGCTTCTAAGTTTATCCAAACACCCTTTAAAGGCTGGTCAAACGAGCTTTTAAGCACTTTTTGTCTTAAATTTGGTGTTTGATAAACACCAAAAGTGCTTTTAAACTAAAACAAGCCAAAAATCATTAATTGGCACCCTAACTTGTATTTTTTCTGCTTAAAAGCTCCTTGGATACCAAGTATCCTACTTTGTTGTCCCTTACATTTTCTTATATTCCAAACAATACCTTTCATTGCACCAAAAGCCCTAACTCCACTTTCGTTTCTTTTTCCTGTTTTTGCCGCTTTCTTTCCTTCTATGCATCTTTGCCGATATCGCCAATTCCTGCGCTGCAGATAGACTATCAAGTTGGAAGATGTGGTATTTGTCTAAGTGAGAAAGAGCAACTTTAGCAAATAGTTTATTCGATAATCTTTCCATGTATACCATGTCTTTGTTTCCTTACTTGCTAAAGTGGAGAACCAACTGAATAGACTATGAAAAGGCTTCCTCTGAGGAAAAGGGATGATAAAATGATATTGGTCAAATAGGAGAAGGTGAAAGAGGTCTAAACTAAGGATGGACTTGGTGTAAGGAACTTAAGATTAGAGGGTACGAGCTATTTAAATAGTTTTTGTGATATAGTCAAGACAAAGATTTACCTTGGAGAAGGGTTTAAGTGCTAAAAATGGGAAACAACACTCTTGGTGCAACAAGACAAACTCAAACCCTCTCATGGATATGGTCTGAGGACACACATAGAAGTCTTTGGTCAGCATTCCAAATATACACCTACTTAAAAGTAGGAGATGGTCGAAAAAGATTTTGGAAAGGTTGTTATCTTAGAAATAAACTCTTGAAGGAGACTAACCCTGATATCTCAATTTAGCTGTAAATCCAGATGCTACAATTGCTCATTGCAGGACTGTAATAATTGGAGCATTAATCTGAGGAAAAATTTACAGGATAGTTGGATACTTGGATGCATGGCTTGCTGCATTTATTGGATGTATTGTGTGAGAGGGCTTGGGAGGTGTGAGAAAATGATTAATTCAGATGTTCTTAAACCAAAAACGACAAATTTACTTAAATCTCCTTACAAGCTCCAAGGGTTTCCTCTTTTGGATGAGTCTCTCCAAATGAAGCTTGCCTAACCCAAGATAATCTGATGAAAGGAGAAATAATGATGTGCAACAGATGTTTTTTATGTGTGAAAAGAGTAGAGAAGTGTTAATCACCTGTTCCAGTACAGGAAAGCTGCAACTGAAATGTGGCATATGTTCCTAAATATATGTGAATGAAATAGGTGACAATGATATGACCATATCACAGTGCTTTTGGCGCTGAAGATGAAAAAAAAAAGGACAATGGAAGGTAGAGACATTCGGGAAACCGTTCCTCTGTGCTTCGTTTGGGTTTGACGGCAGGTGCTTTGAAGACTGTCGAACAACAGTTCATCAGCTGAACGCCTCATGTTTGCATTTTTCTCTGGTGCAATAGTATTTGGTTTATGGACTTCATCAGTTTCCCCTTGTAGCTAAAGGCATATTTTGTAATCTGCACCTTATGTGAAAAATGCAATTCCCTAATGCTATATTATTGATAAGTATAATTTACCTTTTGCTCCGTAAAAACTGTTGCATATTTAATTCACATATGCATAAGATATGCAATAGCGATCTCTGAGTTAAAGGTTTGGTAGGACTCATGAATTTTTAGAATGCTATCATATACACCATCAAATAAATCTTGGGTTTCAAGTTTTTGCTGCAGATGTCTTTTTATTTTATTTTTCTTTTGGGTGTGGGGGGTGGGGGAGGGGGCTGCACTTACCACTCAGAATGAAGCCAGTGACTGTTATCCTGCTTAAAATAAATTAGTCGGGGACAAAATGTAGGAAACAAATATTTTGGACAGTTGAAGGTTGGTCAATGTACCAGAAGGAAGCACAAACCTCTTAGACTGTGTCACTTAAAGAGGGTCACTTTAAAGAGTTGACATTCATCTTTTCAGGTCTATTCGATCAAATTATTCATTCTACTGAGAATGTTGACATTAGTGGGCTGTTCAAGCATCTTTATCCGAAGGTATATGTTGTCACTGTTGTTTATTGGAAGGAACCCTAATATATTGTGTCTAAGCTCTTCTCCATTTCTCCAGGTTATGGTAGGCTTACCGCTTTTAGAAGGAATTAACCCAGCTTCATGTTTTCCACGAACTGCTATTGGCTATGAGGCCACTTGCTACAGTCACATCTGGAGTGAGGTTGTGCTCATCCTCGTTCTTATCTGTTTACTTGACAAGTTTGTCATTCATGGATGTGCCCATAAAAGCCTAATAGATTATGTTACTTGCTTTCTTTTTCCTCCATTTACTACCTCTATTTCATTTTATATGGCACTCTTTTCTTTGGAAACTCTTAGCTTTGAACTTTTTATTTTACTCTTAATAACATTGCTCTTATAGCCATAGAAATGTCATGGCATGTTTAAGATTACATGTTTTAAGAGCAATTTTGGGTATGTGCCAGAAGTCTTTCTTTCTTAAACTCCATGCCCGGTCAAACATCGCCATGTAAAATGAAGCGAAGGGTGTATTTTATTATTTTTGCTAAATGCATCATCAGCTACCTCATGCTAAGCTTTGCCAGAAGTATTGCAGAATTACTGTACAGTTTGGAGTGTTTATATTCTATTTGGTAATATGGTTTTGACAAATTTATTAATTCTTCCTAGGTCTTTGCTGCTGATATATTTGCGTTGAAGTTTCATGATGATATTTTCAACCTGCAAGCAGGCTTGCAATTTAGGAATAAGGTACCAAGTACATCCCTGAGATTGTACTTTCCATTTGCTACACTTGAACTTTATGTTTAGATCGACAATACTTAACCACATATGATGTCTGACTCTGCAAGGATGGGTTAGTTTTCCCGTAAAACCTAAGTGATTAGTACCAAGTGATCCCAGCGAATAACTTAACATGGATAGATCGCTCTTTCTCTTGCATGTTTAAAGACCAGAACTAGCTTTTGCAATTGGAGATGTAATTTTGCCTTTGCTTTTTGTGGTTATCTGAGGCAGGAATCCTTGGGGATAACTGCTAAAAAAAAACCTGAGGGTAGTCTAGATTTGCAACTATTGCAGCATATGACATATGCTACTATGTTACTACAATTTCCAAATTCTACATCTAACCGAATGAATCCCTCTTAGCCACTAGGACTGCTGTCTCTATCCACATTCAGCTATGTTTCTATCAATTTGACGCCGCTCCCCAATCGTCAGTAAACTTGAAACTTAAAATTTCACTGCACACTAAAGAACCTGTCTGCACGCAATTACTCCATTCTCCAATTACGGCTGAAGTATAAGCCCCTGCCCCTGCCCCTCAAAAGATTAGGGCCTTTCTGGCTACGAGTATTGAGTTTTACTTAAATCAATTTTTATAGGTCTTTTAGTTTCATGATAGCCGACTCAGCTTGAGGAAGTCTTCATGTTTTTTCAGAAAGTGAATGCAGTTTCCAGAAACTATCAGGGAGGATCACATCCTAAGTTCCCTGCTGAATTGCTCATTTTCTTAAGTAATGACATGAGAAAGCTCTCCTTTCTTGGCACTTTAAATTTTTTTCATTTTCTCTTTGTGGTAGGTATTGGCCCCAGGAGGAGGAAAAGACCCCATTGAAATGTTATCTGAATTTCTTGGGAGGGACCCATCAATACAAGCTTTTCTTGACAGCATATCTGGTACAAACTAGAGTTCGTTTCACCATTGGTAAAGCAGGGTGAATTTTTTCTGCTCCATCCTGTAAAAGATATAGTTGCCGGCAAAAAATATACTATTTTCCATCATGATAATACTTTAGGAGGAGAAACAAAAAAGATCAGAAATGGAAATAGCATGTAAAATCAAAGGCAGTTCAACTACAACCATTGAAAAAGTGTGGTTGAGCTGTTGCTAATATAATCTTTATTCTCTCTTCGTAGGTTTTTTATTTTTTATTTTTTTTCCGCAAAATTTTCTGAAAGGTCCTAAGTACAACAAAATAACTTGTAATTGTGAAGTTGTTAGTGTTTACCCTAAAAACGGATAACAATTGAATTTATACTGTGGTTTTAAGGACACGTGATTTACTTAACACAAATTGAGAGAAAATGTAAATTGATAATGGAATTAACTGCAAATATAAATGGAGCAAACTAAACGAAATGTATAGCTTTAATCCTTGAGCTAGATTGCCCTCGAATTAAGCGTATATATCGCTGGAAAGTATGAACACAATAACGAAAATATTGAGAGCTTAAGAATAAGAGAGTATTGTTTTTGTGACGTGAATATGATGCCCTTTACAATTGGTTAGACCCCCTTTATATAGTATGAGAATCCTATTCTTGGTACATTCCTAAATATAGTAAAAAATTCCATAATTGACTAATTAATCAGTCTCTTCTTGATACATGTTGGGATTTACGCCGTGATCCTTGCCCGATAGCGGATATTTCATCTTTCCGTTATTCGACCCAGTAAGCTTCCCTCGATCTCCATCTTATTCGGTCCCGATCTTGGTCGATCTCCAGCTCGGTTGGTTTTGATTTTGGTAGGTCTCGATCTTAATCGGTCTTAGGATCTCGAGCTTGGCAATCTAACTTCGTATCACAGTTCGGTATGACATGGGGTTGGATCTTGGCCTGTCACCCCCGATCTCGATTAATCATAAAAAGGTCGAGCCCGATTTTGACCATATACAAGTAGTCCCCTCGTTTTTTGGAGAGTAACGACAAGAAATGATTTGAGCCGTCGAACTTCACCTCGATAAATCATGACATAAGCACCATGACGTAAGTAACAAAGGTAATTGAAACGCCATGTCGGCACGTTCCCCAAGCATTTAATGCGCGTCAGTCGATAGTCGGTCATTACTGGCTTTGAACCGTCACTGAGAAATTATAAATATCATTCTTCTTAACTTTTCAAACTTTACTTTCAAATTTTCTTCATTCTAATCCTCAAAATCCTTTGCCTTCCTCAAAGCTTTGTATTCTCATATCCCTGAATTTCTTCGCTCGCTTCATCATAAAATACCAAGCGCTCCTCTATAGTCCCATTCTTCTTTACTCATAAAAGAAATGGCTAAGACTTCAAAAACCATTCCACAAAAGGAGACTGCTTCATCATCACGGCCGGTCGGTGAGGAACTGGCGGCGAAGCCACGCCCTGAAGAGTTTTTTCCTAGGGATGTGTCCTCGATTCTGATTTCAAGATTGAAAAGACTTCCTTGGTGCCAGGTCGATGCGAACCGCTATCGAGGTATATATGTTCGATAGCCGAGAAACTCCTCTCCCAGGTTAAAAAGATTGCAATTGGGGTTAAAAAACACGTGGTGGTGCCTGCTCCAGAAGAAGCAATCACCACCCACGTGGAAGGGTTCGTAAGTATTTATACTTATCCCTTCACGTTGGGTCCCTTGGATCCGATCATCGTAGATTTTTGCAAGAAATACGAGGTTACCCTCGATCAGATTCATCCCACTTTCTGGAGGATAGTGATATACTTCGTTTCTTCTCAAGTAAAGTCGATGGGCTTCCTTTCACCCTCGACCACCTCATACGCCTATAGCCCCAGACTCTATCGAGGGGGACTAATAAAGCTTCAAAGTCGAGCAACCAGGGCGCCTTTCTCGAGCATAGATGAGGACAAAGACCGGGGCTGGATGGGACGATTTGTTCGAGTGAAGACCTCGAACTTGATCTCGGCCGAGAGTGTGCCATTTCTTGAGAAATGGAATATGAAACGTAAGTATAAACCCTTCCTTAACTCCTGTTTATTGTCTTCGTATTTTCACCCTTTATTATCTGCATTTTACTTGATGCAGTCGTTGCCTGGATGCCGGGTACGGTTCCTCAACTCGAGGATTGGGTCAGGAGCCTAATATCGAAGTCGACACATGCTGAGCGCGCATGGTGCAATTTGGCGAAAGGTCGATAGGAGGCTAGTAGTCATGGTAAACTTTTCTTCCTGACTTGTTCATTTGACCATGGTTCGAATATTTTCCCAGGCTTATTCATTTCTTTTGGTTTGTAGGTCTCGGGTAGGATGTGATGATGAGGCCCCTGTCTGGTGATGAAGAAGTCCAATCATCTGCTCTGAAGTCGGAGAAAAAGAGGAAAATGACTTCGAATTCCACGTACTTCGAGGGGCAGAAACCCAAAAAAAAAAGCAGCTCGTAAACCCAAGGGGAAAATCATCCCTTTATTTATGGAGTCAGTCCAACGACTAAGGGATGAGGCCGAAGAAGAAGAAGAAAGAGAAGACTCCGGGCTGGTGGCCCGTGCGCGAGCTGGCACCGAAATTCGAAGAACTACTGAGCCGGTGAGAGTTGAAACTGCTCTGCCTTGATTAATCATAAAAGGTCGAGCTCGATTTTGACCGTATACAATTAGGTATCATATCCCGGGGGTAAGAGAATAGCGAAAAGAGGATGAACATTGGAAACTTTCGTCATTTGGACTGAAGAATCTGTGGAGGAAATCAGGTTTTAAATTTCTTTGAATTGGCTTTACGTATTTTCGTAGTCATACTTAGAACCAAATTAGACATAAAAATTGTAAATTTCCAAAAAAAAATTTAATTTTTTTTAAAAGTGAAATGGTATTTGAAAATTAGAGTTGTGTTTAGACATGAATATAATTTTGAGTTGTTTTTGAATTTTTGTGAGTGATATGAGTGAAAATTTTGAAAAATAGCTTTTTGGAGTTTTTTAAATTTTTGAAAATTTCCAAAGTGAAAATTTAAAATTTTATTGCCAAACACTGATTTCTAGAAAAAGTGAAAAATTTTCGGGAAAAAAGTGAAAATTGTTTGTTTACCTTGAAAATGGTATTAACAATTATATTTGATTTTGTGGTTCCAAAAATATGTGATTTATTTCAATACTATTTGTTAGGCAATAGATGCTAAGTGTAAGTAAAGAGAATAAGATATGCAAACCAATGCTGCCGCAAGACTAGGCCTTGAACTGGCCGGAATAGGGGGCCTCGAGGTCTAGTTAGGATAGTTAGCAATGAAAAATTGATGGAGAAACAATGATATCGAAGGTTTCGAAGATAGCCTTTTGCGGTTAATAATGGGAAATAAATGAAGAACAATAAATGAATAATAAATGAACAATAAATGAACAAGTAATGAATCTGTAGAGTAATTGTTGAGCACGTTTAGGCAAGAAAAGCAGAGAATGTTCTATTGTATTGAATACTCATGTGTGTTACAAAATGACAAGGGGTCCCCTTTATATAGGAGGGGTGAACACCAACACAGTACAAGTCTAATCATGACAGAGAAATGCTATTGGTATAGCTGTGTAACAGACTTGTACTATCTTTGCAGACCTTATTAGCTCTAACCATGCGTCCTTAGGAGTTTTTTCGCCTTTCCATGATGGTCATCGATTTTATACTGCCTCGAGGTAGGCCGCGATGAGCCTTCGACATGCTTTCTCGAGGTATGCATTTTGGGGTCGAACTTCAGTTTTTACTTCGAGACCCTCGAGATTGGGCCCGAGATGCCATAAAGGCCTTGATATTAGGGCCCCTGGTATCGGCCGCACACAGATAGTCCCTGCATTTCTTATAATGAAATGATAAGAAACGATTTGAATTCTTTGATTCTTCGATGTCCCCATCATGATGCAAGTCACGTGAGGTCAGTGATTGATGTGACAGAAAAGACGTGCAAAAGTCACGCCTGTATGTTTCTCGAAAAGCTTTAAATCGAAAATGGCGGTTGACCGTCCTTTTATCTTCTTCAACACGCATGACGTATCCCTATAAATGCCTCAATCCTTCGTTCCTTAAACCTTTACCTTTCACAACATCTTCAGATCTTTAGAAACTATGTTTATACCCTCACTTCTTCCTTGTGTTCGTCTCTCAACCGATTTCTTCCTCTCCTTCTGAGATTTTGGCAAAATCTCTAAAATTGTTCCCCAAAAGGATTCATCAAGCTCGTCTAAGAGTAAAACAGTAGTACCACCTCGTATTGAGGAGTGTATTCCCGGGCCTTGTGAAACATCTTCTGATTGCCAGGTCGAAAAACCTTCCTCTGTTCCGGGACGATGCGAACCTATGTCTCGATACATCAGCCTAATAACTGAAACTAAGAAAGTCAAGGTTTACTGCCATTGGGGGGAGGCGGTGCAAGTAGAGATTCCTTCATGTGAAGAAGACAAAACCAAACACAAAGCCAATTTTCTTAGTATATACACATATCCTTTCACCGTAGGCCCGGTAGAAGCCTCTTCGCCACCGATAGACCCAGTGATCCTCGATTTCTGCAGACAATATCGGGTGACGCTTGGACAAATCTATCCATCATTCTAGCGCATTGTTTATCTGATTAGGTATTTCTCGAACATGGTCGAGGGGATGCCTTTTACCCTTGATCATCTGATTGAACTGTACAGCCCCCGAATTTATCGAGGAGGCCTGATTAAGTTAAAACATCGATCCTCAAAGACCTTTTTTGCTAGCATTGGCGAGGACAAGGACTGAGGGTGGATAAGCCGCTTTGTCCGAATCAGGACCTCGGACCTGATCCCCGCTGAGAAAATGCCATTCCATGAGGAATGGAATATGAAACGTAGTTAAACATGTTTTATTAATCGGATATCTTTTCTTGCCTTCCAATTAACTCCCTTCGATGATGCATCTGTCGAGTGGTACCTCGGTGCTGTCAAGGATCTCCCGGGCTGGGGTCGATGACTCGATTCGACCTGCCCATATGTGAAGCGTGTGTGGCGTGATCTGGCTAAGACCCGTTGGGAGGCCAAAAACCATGGTGAGTTTTTATTTCTGTCATACTCGAGCTTCTTAGAGAAGATATCTCTTGATAGTACCCTCACCCTTTGTGCTTATGCAGGCCTTGGAGAGGCCGTTTTGATGAGGGAACCCCCGCATAGGGAAGCAGATACCTTGAAGCCTGCTAAGGAGAAAAACAGAA